CCTAAGGGTGATCCAGTGATTGCAATATTAGATGATATAACCATTTTCAGTAGTTGTTGATTTGGAAACATCAATTCTGTCCATTTGAATGTTCTAGGAGATTAAGGCTTCTTTGATCACATCAACTGAATAGTTTCCAGATTTGTCGTGATACTGATTTTGCTTTAATATTTCAATATAGCAAAGTGTCTTTTATTGATTAAAGAAGTCATCTGCAATTTGGTTTAGCTCATTTTGGGTAAAAATAATACCTTGTAATGCAGAATTGATGGTGTGAAGACCGCTGATTTTCACGATATAACTTTCTGTTACTCTTGCATTTTAAATCCTTGGATTTTTTTTCCTAACTGAGGTTTATGTTAAGCCATAACAAATATTTAAGAAATCAATTAATAAATATTAATAATAATTTGTTTATTATTAAATATCAATAATATTATTAAATATAAAATTAATAAATAATATTAATAAAAAAATACTTAACAAATCAAATACGTAACAAATCAAATACTTAAATATAAAATTAATAAATAATATTAATAAAAAAATACTTAACAAATCAAATACGTAACAAATCAAATACTTAACAAACCAAACTGTACTCTTGCATAGAACTTTATTCACAAAATTAAAATTTGAACAAAACCCAATTAAAAATTTGAATATTGCTTGTGTAACAGAAATTTGCATAACTTAGTAACGTAAATAAAATCGAATTAAAAATGGTGAAAATTTTCTTTTTAGTAAACTTTTTTTGCTCACTAAAACGACCTTACGTCCTTATTAAATAATTTTCAAAATTTTTTTTTCCCCACAATCCCTTTCCAATCGACTAAAAACAAATTTCATTTTTTACTTTTTCGCTATACATTATAGTTTTCAAGTTTACCGCGGAAAACAAAAATGTCCACTTTTTATGATAAGTGTGTATATATATGTATATATAAATATATATATATATATATATATATATATATATATATATATATATATATATATATATATATATATATATATATATAAATATATATAAATATATATATATATATATATATATATATAATATATATATATATATATATATATATATATATATATATATATATATATATATATATATATATATATATATATATATATATATATATATATGTATATATATATATATATATATATATATATATATATGTATATATATAGATATATATATATAAATATATATAAATATATATATATATATATATATGTATATATATATAAATAAATATATATAAATATATATATATATATAAATATATATATATATATATATATATATATATATATATATATATATATATGGGAATTAAAAGATAAAAATATTGATGATTTTACACTGAATTGGTCCATCTTTAAAACAGTGCCTGCATATAACAATATTTCCAAAAAATGCATACTATGTCTACAAGAAAAATTTGAAATAATTACACATAGAAACCAAGAATGTTTATTGAACAAAAAATTGGAATTGATTTCTAAATGCAGGCATGAAAATAAGTTTCTCCTAAAAAACTATAAAAATAAGTGAGCTCAAATAATAGTTACATTAACTCCCCTTTGAAAAAAATATATTATTTTTTAAAAAAGCTTAAGTAATCATTTCTAAAGAATTCTTTTTACAAGTGTCAGCAAATTACACAAATGTGTGAAAAATTGCAGTAGTTAAGACATGTGACTTCCTGTAATTTAATTTTTGGTATAAATTGAAGTTTTATTAATTTGATCATTCATTTCTGATGAGTCTTTATTGATGAAACACAGTGTTAAATGAGAAAAAATTTTGCTAAGTGATTTTCTACTAATTTGTGATTGCTCTGTTCTTTTAAGAACATTGAGCACTCTTTTTGTAGAATACATTTTAAATTGTTTAAATATATCACAAGCTTTCCTTCAAAAATAAAAAACTCACAAATGCAACCACGCTTTCTAAATATATATGGGATACACAAAATAAAACAAAAACAACACCCAATTTAAAATGGTCTATCATAAAATATGCCCCTGTGTACAACAACATAACCAAAAAATGGATAAAAATCCTCAAGAATTATTGCATTTAGCATGAAACTAATAGTTGTGAAAAATATGCAGTTTTATTTATAAATAATATATATAAATACAGCTCTGTTTCAATTTAAATCATTTTAATTTACTTTAATTCATCGAGCACTCTCGCGATGATATATGCAAGCACTAATACGTATACATATATATATATATATATATAAATATATATATATATATATATATATATATATATATATATATATATATATATATATGTATACGTATTAGTGCTTGCATATATCCTCGCGAGAGTGCTCGATGAATTAAAGTAAATTAAAATGATTTAAATTAAAATGATTATATATATATATATATACATACATATATATATATATATATATATATATATATATATATATATATATATATATATATATATATATATATATATATATATATATACTCATATAGTGTCGCTTTAAGAGCATTTTAATGTAAAAAAAGTCTCTTACGACTACAATTTTAATTACCTCGTCTCTTAAGCTGTTTTTGATTGTCATCGAAATGTCAAAGCAATTAATTTATGCGGAAGTACATTAAATTTAATTGTTTTTTAAAAAATTTTTAAAAAACCGCAATTATAACGACTAGAAAGTTTTTTTTAATTAGTGGTGTTTTTGTTATTGATTTAATAAAAAACATTTTTTAAACATGCGTAAAT